TTCCCCTTCTGCATTGTGCTATTGTTTTCAGGGATGCGGTGGCTCAGTGGCTAAGATGCTGAGCTTGTCGATCAGAAAGGTCGGCAGTTCGGCAGTTTGAATCCCCAGTGCCGCGTAACGGCATGAGCTCCCGTTACTTGTCCCAGCTTCTGCCAACCTAGCAGTTCGAAAGCATGTAAAAATGCAAGTAGAAAAAATAGGAACCACCTTTGGTGGGAAGGTAACAGCGTTCTGTGCGCCTTCGGCATTTAGTCATGCCAGCCACATGACCACAGAGAAGTCTTTGGACAGTGTTGGCTCTTCAGCTTTGAAACAGAGATGAGCACCGCCCCCTAGAGTCAGGAATGACTAGCACATATGTGCGAGGGGAACGTTTACATTTTCATGCAATTATGAACTAGTTTTTGTACAGGATTTATTTCATCTGGAAGTTCTATTGTTCTGAAAATATCCAAGCCAAAGAAAAATATATATATATTTCTTCTATTAAACATTAGAACCTGATACAACTTTCTGGCCTGATGGAAAACCTTGGAGAACTATTCTCTCAACCCTTTCTACATCTTGACTCCAACTTTTCTTATGCAGAAACTGATCTATTGAACCTATGATTTAAGATCCAATCTTCCAGGAGATATCATATTCAACAATTCAGGAGGGAGACCTTAGCAAGTAACATTTTCAGATGGTTACAGAGTAACTTGGAAAACTAAGCACTATTCAGTTAAAAGAAGTATAATTCCGAGCTTCAACTACACCATTTATGTAATGATGAGACAGAATGACTTGAAGAACAAGAAAAGTCTTTTAGATATATTTTTACCTCTTCATTTCTGTTGATTGCATTAACTCTGACCATAACTCCTGGTTTTAACAATTTGCTCTCATGAAGTCGTACACAAATAAGATCTGTAGCGCTGTTGGATGGTGCACAGACTAATATTCGACTGCTTGGTAAACTATAATATATCTAATTAGACAAAAACAAGCATTCATATGTTGTATTGTTAACTGATGCTCTTAACACAGTGAACATGGTAATTTTTAAGAATTATGTTGAACCAATTAAATTTCAACATTATTTTTTTCCATGCTAGTGCATATAGTACTGAAGACTGACAAGACATTAACATAATATTCAGAATATTTCAGTAAGCAATAATTATGCACTGGTGTTTTATTTCTCCATATTGATCCACCATAAAAAGTTAGTATTTCCTGTAGCATCCTTTTTCAAACATATACCAAAATAGCATTTAAAGCCACATTATTATAATTCTCATGTTATTTTAATATTTAAAGGGTCTCATTATTTTCAAAGCATTCTCATGCATATTAAAATTCTGTTATCTGCGGATAAGAAAATCCATCAGCAATTCCTATCTCCCACAGCAACAAGTATTCATTCACAAAATATATTCCCAAAACAACACGGCTGAGTAATTTTTGAACCAAGAGTTAACATTATTAAAAATAGCAGAGACAAGAACCAGTTACAATTCACTGTTACCTGCAAAATTGCTTCTATAATTGTGACAGTTTTGCCAGTTCCCGGTGGCCCAAATAGGATATAAGGAGTTGGACGACATTCACCATTAAGAATCCTTTTCACTGCAAGCTTCTGGTGCTCATTCAGCAGAGGATTGAAAAAGTCACCGTCTTGTCTATTCCAAGTTAGAATTCTATTAACTATATCCAAAATTATATAATTTAATGAACATCTTATTATAGTGCACAGAATTTTTTAAAAATGTGAAAATGCATCCAAAATTATAGTACATATCCATGTCATATCCATTTAAATAGGTAACAATCAAGTATAGATCATTTGCCCTTTGATATAGGAAAAACTAACAAGCATTTAAAATGCACCCGCTAAACCACTTTATCCCAACAAAATGATACCAACTTCTTTGTGTGGCAGTAGTGACCATATCAGAAACAACTGCTTTTTCATTTTCTGGTATTCCTTTTTCCTTTGTCATCCTTTCTTCCTGAAAGCAGCAAAACACGGAAATCAATATTTGTAATGTTTCATTCAATCTACTTTTGTAAAGGGACAACTTTAATGTAACTTAAAGTATTCACACGCAAATTCTAAAAAGTTATTGAAAAGCTTATTGTTAGTAACACTGTTAATGTATATAAATACAGCATTCATATGAAGATACTGTAGCGCACATGTAATCATTCTGACGTCATTGAGGTTTGTTATTGATGCCACTGCTTCCAAGCCTAGGCAAACTAAATCAGATGGTATTGCTTGTCAAGACGTATGCACTATTAAGGTTTGACTCAGTAGTGGGTTCTGGCAACCATTACTGCCGGTTTGCTCAGAGATGCGCTGTGCGCACAGTTGATGTGCGTGCATGCACAGTGCAATCAAAATTGCTCTGCACATGTGTTGAAGGTGGCACAGCCCATGGAGCAGCCGGAAGAACCAGTCTGGGGGCATGGCAGGCCTGGGTCACTGCCTGTTCCAGCGACCCAGGCTGCCAAGCTATTACCGGTTCAGCTGAACCGGTCCGAACCGGTAGGAACCAACCACTGGTTTGACTTAAGAATTATTAAGTATTTAAGATTCTACTCTGCAAAAAAGGTCCTAACTTTTCTGCTACTGCTAAATACCGATTACCAGCAGACTGTACAATTTAAAAAGCCGGCCACTGATTGGGCTCAGGAATCAGATATCACAGGGTTCATTCCAAAATGTCTCCCTGCCTTCTCAGGGTTTATTCTTTTTATACAGTTTTTACAAGCAAAGAGCATATATAGCAACAGCATTGTTATTGGTTTATTCTCCCTGTCAATCTCTAAGAACATCCCACCCAGGGATCTCACATATCCAGATGGTTCCCGGTACTGCCTGGTGAAGCTAGGTGAGATCATAGGAATCTGAGGTACCCAATTACCGAGATCATGGCAGTTTGCTGTGCATGTCTTTATGTAACCTTTCCTCTATCCCCACAGGCCACCATCTTTAAAATTTCAGGTTGTGCGACAATTGCAGCTTCTCCTGGCTCAGGAGTCCCTGCATTATCATTCAAGGTCTAATCATCTCCCAGCCAATTGCAATAAGCTCTACATGGGGCTACCCTTGAAAAGCATTTGGAAGCCACAACTGCGGCAGAGTACAGTGGTGTGGGCAGTTCTTGGGGCCCAAATGGTGGCCCATGTAACACCATTGGTCCGGGAGCTGCACTGTTTGCCTATGTGTGCAATTCAAAATGTTGATAATCAACGCCCAGCATGACATGGGTCCAGGTTACTTAAGGCAGGGGTTCCCAACCTGCGGCCCACTACTGGACTGTGGCCTATTTGCAATTAGACCGCGGGCTGGTGTGCATACATGGGCACAGCTCAACTTGCGTGAGTGGAGGGTCAGTGCGCACGCACACACACAACTTGCAATTGACCTATGTGTAAATGCACATGGATGCCAGCCCACCACTTGCATGAGTCAAGCTGCGTGCATGCGCACTGGCCTGTCACTTATGCGACCCAGTTCCCCATTCCGCCTTGCAGTTGGGCTGCCAAGCCGCAAAGATTGAGGATGGCTTACCCACTGGAATTGGCCTGCTCTACCCATGCCAGCAGAGGAGACATGCTGTGGACCCTATCGGCCAGGGTATTCTGGTTGGCAGGATGTAAAACAGCCTTCACTACCACTTGCCATTTAGAACATTTTGCCCCCCAAATGAAGTCCACTCAAAAGGAAGCATTTCATGTTGGCTGTGGTTGATACCGTGTTTCCCTGAAAATAAGCCCTTGGCCTTATTTTCGGGGAGATCTTATTATTTTTGAGGTGGAGGAGGCGGTGAATGTAATCACCTCATGGCTGCTACTGTGTTGCAATATTTTGGGGAAGGACTTATATTAGCCCATGCACTCAAAAGCCCAATTGGGCTTATTATCTGAGGAGGTCTTATTTTCGGGTAAACAGGGTAGATTAATATGAGATCCCACCCTGTTTATCCTATTTACACTCTTCCCATCTTTCAGCTATTCTATTTTGTATTTTTTATACTTTTGTAGTATTTTATTTATATAACTTTTTTGTAATAATGTAAGCCTACTAGAATTAAGACAGGGGGCAAATAAATTGGATAAATAAATAAATGAATCTCAATATGTGGGTATCTTCAGTATCCCTTAACCTAGGGACATGCGGCCCACCCATTAGATCTAGAACAGAAATCTCTCTCTGGGCTCTAATCCCTGGCAAATGTCATCTTCAGGGATCTTTGAGGCCAATCTTTTCTGCTAATGACCTTTTCTCTGGAATAGCATTCCTCCAGAGATCAGACGGTCTTCCACAGATATTTCTAAAGATTACTGATCTATCTTATCGTGGAAGCGAGTAACTGGTGCTGAGTTTATTACTGTTGATGATTCTAATATATTGTATATGGCTAATTTTATCACAGGATGAGGTAAAGCTGTTCAGACTAATTAGGATTGAAGCAAGATGTAACACTAATAAAACAAAATATAGTTAAATAACATGTTAGCTACAATAGCAAATGAACACATTTCACATTTTTTTTTAACAAACAAGCTGTTTAAACACTACAGCAATAAATAAATTAATGGAGAGGTAGATTAGGGAGAATTTACCTCAGTTTCTTGGGTAACACTTTGTTCTGGAATGCTGGAAGAATATCCTGACTCATGCTGCTGCTGCATGATTTGTGGTGATTGCAAAATAAGAGCATCAGGAAACAAAACTTTGAAGTAAAGAGCAAAAAAGAAAAATAAGAATAAAAAAAATGAATCAATAAAAGCCATCATTGTAGAAGATGCTAAATGTTTATTAAAGATCCAACAATAACCTAACTCAATGTACCATGTCTATTGAAATAATAACAACAAAAAATAATCTAGACTATTACAGTTTCGGTAAAAATAAATATGTAGATAAGACATATACCCTTTGCTCCTAAGTTGATGGCTTGTTCTACTGCATGATGGCATCTCCTGGTTGTTATCCTGTGAAAGATTCAGAAAAAAGATTAAAGCTTAATTTCAAGAGATTAAAACAGTAAACCTGACCAACATGTTATGCTCAAGACTGCAGTTATATGCAATAGAAGGAAAACATGCCTAAATCCATTGTTTGCTTGTATTTCTTGCCTTAGCAGTTGCAAAACATACCACCTATCAAAACACCATTATTCATCATTTCCCTAAATTTGGAAAGGTGGGTGGAGGAATGTGCTATCTTAAAAAATGCCTGCAAATGGCTCATTATTAGAACTGGTACCGAAAGATCCATATTATGAAATATTTGAAATCTTATATTAAAAATAAACTCATTAACAAAACAGATCTAAGTAAGGAAGAAAAGCTGTGAAATGGCAACAGAGACTCTGATTGTTACAATACTGCATCAGTTTGATGTGAAGGTGCTTAGCAGACAACCCGAGAAGACTGGAATCAAGGAACGCTCTGTAATCTACCCCGTTTTAAAAAATTATTTGGTTAGACTGAATTATTTTGGGATTCTTTTACGATTAAAAAGTAGCAGGGTGCAAAATATCTTCCATTTAAACATTTCTTGAGCTTTTTAAAGATTAAAAGAGCCTTTTCAACTTTCCTGGAAATGCTACAATACTTTTGTGACATTACTGAAAGTCTTCCAAGTTGATATGCTTTGGGTACCACTGTTAAAAAGCTATCACTATTTCAGCAGTTTGCACTTCACCGTTCTCCCTCCCCCCCTTTGATTCTGCATATTAATAAAAACATTAGGCAATCACTGTTACTGTTACAAACACAAGACTTAGAATCCTCATGTGTCATCATAATGCCTGAAGTGGACTTGTCCGTTTGGTCTTATGGGATTATAATGATTTATCTTAAACAAAAGCTGGCAACTCGCAGACCAAAGGCCACATTTAATTACTATTGGAGACAGAAACATTTTGTGTTTGCTTTTTTAGAGTTGTGACTGTAACCTGAGCAAGAATTAGTGCAGTTCTTACAATCATAATAGAAAAGAGGGTTATTTAAAAATGCACTGTAGGCAGATCAAAGCCTAGCAGGAGGAGAAAAACAATGTGATGTGCTCCATATGTGTGCCTGGGAACAAAGGCAGAAAGAAGTGACCTGGGATTAGTAATTTCAGGAAGACCACAAAGAGTGATGAAGAGGCGCTGGGCTGAGTGAGTGTGATTGGCCCTAGCTGGCTTTGTGCCTATGATGAGACTAGAACAGACTTCTAATTTCTAGTTCGGTGCCTTAATTACTAACCAAACTGACTTTTAATTTTTATGCATTTGTTAATTATTTAACAATTATTTAAAATGGACACCATCAAAAAAGCACAACAAAGAATGTTCTTTCTGCGCCAACTCAGAAAGCTTAGACTGCCCAAGGAGCGGCTGATTCTGTTCCACAGAGGAATTATTGAGTCTGTCATCTGCACTTCTATAAGTGTCTAGTTTGGTTTTGCAATCCAACAAGACAGACNCCAGATAATAAGCCTAATTGGGCTTTTGAGCGAATGTGCTAATATAAGCCCTCCCCAAAAATATTGCAACACAGCAGCAGCCATGAAGTGACCACGCTCACCGCCTCCTGCACCTCAAAAATAATAAGACCTCCCTGAAAATAAGGCCAAGTGCTTATTTTGGGGGTCAAAAGAAAATAAGATCCTGTCTTATTTTCGGGGAAACACATTAATATTATACTTATACACACGCTCATGCAAACATAGGCATGCACACACAGAGCTCGAAGAAGTTCAAATAGGTGTAACCCTATTATCCTTTAAAATGGCCTTGAAGGAGAGGGGAATAGGTGCCGTCTGTGTGCTTCCCTATTTTCATCATCTTTTATTTGCTCTTATGTATTAGGTTTTGTACAAAATTGATTTATACGTCAAGAAGTTACAATATTTCTTGTTACATTCTGAGGTGAAAGAAGAGACTCAAACAGCTGAGGTAACAGGAAGAACTATTTTAATAACAGGAACGAAGCAAACACAACTATATACAATTCAGCACCATGCCCTGCTTGACAGCTATTTATACAGGAGTTGTCAAGCAGGGCAGCCAATAGTAACGCAACAGAAAGCACGCTTCCAACCTGGCATGTCTCAGCCAATGGGCGCGAGCCCTTGGTTGCTGGGCTGTCAGTCGTATGTAGAGGACTTGCGGCTGGTCGTTAAGTCGAGGACATAACATTTCGCAGTACAAAATGACATAAGGAATCACTGTGTAAAATTGTACCTTTATACAGTGATCCCTTATGTCATTAAGTTGTATCCGCTGTTTTTAAAGCTGTACAATATATTCATATGGCTCTTTACTTTTGTTCTTTGTAAATAGATTCTGCAAGAAAATTGCATAGGTATAATGCAATTATATAGGGATGCAGTGGCTCAGTGGTTAAGATGCTGAGCTTGTTGATCAGAAAGGTTGGCAGTTGGCGGTTCGAATGCCTAACACCACATAATGGAGTGAGCTCCCATTACTTGTCCCAGCTTCTGCCAACCTAGCAGTTCGAAAGCATGTAAAAATGCAAGTAGAAAAAATAGGAACCACCTATGGTGGGAAGGTAACAGTGTACCGGCCACCTTCGGCATTTACTCATGCTGGCCACATGACCACAGAGACATCTTTGGACAGCGCTGGCTCTTCGGCTTTGAAATGGAGATGAATACCACCCCCTAGAGTCAGGAATGACTAGCACGTATGTGTGAGGGGAACTTTACCTTTACAGAGGACCAGAGACAGATTATGAATAGATCTATCACTACACAGGAAGTTTCTGAAGCTATTAAAAATAGAGAAAAGTAGGAAAGGCTCCTAGATTATCAGGTCCTTGTTATCAAAGTTTTGATGCTTTTACAATCTTTAGAAAACACAATTATCTATGTCCTAGAGGGA